TTATTAGATAATATAAATAAAGTTAGTACTATTTGTTATCAATTGATAATCATTTGTAAGTATCCAAAAATAATTACGAGTATCCAAAATTATTACGAGTATCCAGAATAATTACAAGTATCCATAATAATTATGAGTATCCAAAATAAATGAGTATCCAAAATAATTACGAGTATCCAAAATAATTATGAGTATCCAAAATAATTACAAGTATCCAAAATAATTACGAGTATCCATAATAATTACGAGTATCCATAATAATTATAATAATTACGAAATAAATTATATATATTCGAATATCCTTGAATAAATTGATTTTCGAATATTCGTAAAAAATTTGATTTTCGGTTAGGAACACTATGTTGGAGTAAACGCTTATTCAGAGCTTAAAATGCACATTCTTTTTTATCATTATTAAATAATTTTTCAAATCCTAAATTTTATTGTTCCATTCATAAAAATGCCAAAAGCAACACAAGTAAGTAAATAAATATTTGTTGTATTGTCAAATTGTAAAACTAAAATTCTTGTCTGTTGTACCATAGAAACAAATACCACCCAACTTTGACATGTCATTTCTTCCAACCGATCAACAAATAAAAGACATTCAAGAAGCCGGTATACCATTAACTACGAAAAAAAATACTGAATTCTGGGTTAAGGTTTTAACTAACTATAGAGAAAAACATCATAATGGAATTCCAATTGAATCGGTTAATGACAAAAAAATATTAGAAAAACAATTATGCGAATTTGTTGTTGGTGTGCGAAGAGATGATGGCGAAGAATATTTGTCATTAAAAAATTGTATGGCTGCAATTGATAGACATTTGAAAAGTCACAGTGTAATTAAAGATCAAATTACCTTAAATGGAAACGCGTGCAAGCAAAATTATCCAGACTTATATAAAACTTTAAATGGAAAGCTACGTGATCTTAAGAAACAGGGTAAGATTTCTACAAAGAAGGCTGACACACTTTCACCAGATGAAATCAAACAAATTCTGAATCACCCATCAACATCAAAAGATACACCCGAAGGTCTTTCTAGGAGAGTGTTTATATGGGTCTGTTTGGTATTTTGTCCTCATGGTGGTGAACATACAAAAATGTTAAAATGTCAGTTTGATATACGTGATGATATGGTTATTTTCACCAAATTTCATCAAAAAAATGATCAAAGTGGTCTTGATGGTAATAATGAATCACTAAATATCCCATGTCCACGTGATAAAGAACATCAAGGAGCTTATGATGACATTATATCTTATTTGAGTAAATGACCAACACCATGTATTACAAAAGAGTTTTATTTACAAGTTAATTCATCCAATTCAGGCTAGTTTTTTTATTTATATTTCACTTTTCATGGTGGTTAGTTTTTCAAAACTAGTGCATCTAATAAATTTTATGATTTTAGCAATCAATGATGATGTATGGTATCTTGATCATAAAATTGGAACTGAGAAAATCAAGAATTACATGAAGACAATATGTTTCGATGCTGGTATAAATCTAAATGGAAGAAAAATAGTCTGTAACAGTTTCTTTTTCGTTAATTGCGAATATGTAATGTGGCACAGTAATACGAAATTTATTTCGCGTAACGCGTTAAATTAAAACGAAACGTTACAACTTTATTTATATATATTATCGTCATATTACTT